AGGATTTGGTTGAATGTAGATATTGATCTGCTAGGACTGTATACTCATTTTGATCATTTGTTTGATTATTTCTGTTTGGTGTATAGATTATTATGTTATCCTTTCTCGATGCTCTGCAGGTATTCTCTTAACAAATTAATTTAATTCCTTCTTTTTATCTTGGTTCCTAGCTTTGTGATTGTAAGCTTCTTTTTAGTTGGGAAGTGAATGTTTAACTCAATGTTGTGATTTCTTTTGAAGTTTTACTGTGGTTCTGACTTCTTTGAAACAAACTTTTTATACTACACTTGTCACTTTGTACTTCATACACTGATTATTTTAAAAACACTTCAATAAACCTCAACATTATGTTGTTTTGATTTGTTTTTCTCACGTTTTGATTTACTGGTTTTGCTATCTTATTTATGTAGATAAACCTCATTTCCTTGTGATTTGCTGAAAAAATCCCAGTTCTATGATCCATGTGGATGTTCAACTTACCTGTATGCATATTTGTTGACCATTTGAAATCAGACTCGTGTTAATTGTTGCATTATAATGTTTGTAAAACTTTGAGAAAATTTATTGACATTTTATAAATGTATTTAGTACCTCATTGACTCATTCCTAATTAAATATTCACAAAAATCTCTAATTTCTTATTGTGAACCTTTTGAAATGTTTATAATTGCAATTATTACCGCCTTTCTTGAGAATATGCTGAAAACTGTTTAATTGATGTAGATCTTCTATTTATCTTCACTCATATTTTTTGGCAATTCGAAATTAGGATGTTCCATTTGTATACTTGTATATGCATTCATAGGTATTTAGTATGTAGTCGGTGAGTTAGAGAAACTCAACCTCAAAGGGGGCCCACAGTGGAACTCATCAAATAACTCGAGAGGTACTACTTGCTTGGAACTCATAGGTGAGCTTGCCTATTGGGATTGGCAGGCGCTATTTGCCCGAACACACCGAGTTAAAAACTTGCTCTTTCACGAGGCGAATTGTAGAATCCCTATGATGCACGGACACGGACACGGCGACACGGACACGACACGACACGACACAGACACAAGACACGACTTTTTTTGAAAATATAGGACACGGGTACGGCGCGGACACGCAATACATTTTTTTTATATAGTGTATATATATTAATGTAATATCATATTAAAAATGACAAACAATAATAAATGAATGACATGAAAACTTGTCTAGCTTATAGTATAAAATATTTAGTACAAAATATCTAGTACAACTACAAAAATATAAGCAAATACTCACTTACTACAACTTCAAGCATTCAAGCTTCGACTACTAGGATTAGCTTTAGAGGTTTGTTTTTTGCCTTCAATATCATATTCAACTCTGGTTCAACAAGAGAAAGATTTGTAATTGTGCAAAAAGAGAGGAGATGAAAATGCCTTCACTGCCAAAGAGAAATGAAAATGAGAATATTCGATGAATGGTTATTAAATGCAGACGTTGATTTGGTGTTGTGGATAAGAAATAAGAAATTTAGTTTAAATCTCACTAAATATAAGAAATTATATTTTAAAAAAATTATAAAATATTTAAGATACGCGTGTCGGACACACATGTCCAATTTGTTTTAAATATTTTTTTTAATTGGACACATTTTCGGCGTGTCCGACACGTGTCGGAGGAGTGTCGGACACGGTGTCGGACACTGCACGCCTATTTGAGGAGAAGTGTCGGTGCATCATAGTAGAATCCTCATCTAGCCAGCAACTCGGCACTTGGCACACACCTGGACCACCATCCTAGTCACTTTCTCTCTCCAAGAACAAATATCTTCTTGAAGGTTTTGAAAGCCTAGCTATATGAAAGTGTTTATTCACGGGACTCCTAGCTCATCTCATCGTAGCCATTTAACTCAGAGCCTCCCTACCTGCAAAAAGAGTCATCAACGACATTGACAAGCTCGGTGGTCATAGGCTCCCTCATCTCAGCATTCACCATAGGCTCAACCTAGCCTACTCGACACTATTAAATTCGCCTAGAGACTACTCGCCGGAGCTCACCCGACCTCGCCCTCTTTTAGCCAATCAGAGGATGTCATATGTCTAGGTTAGCATGTGTAGCATCATACAGGTGTTCTGTGTAGTGTTGTACCTTTTCTCTTTTTTTGTAGCATTTCTTACAGCCTTCAAAATTCTATAAAAATAAGAGGTGATGAGGTGTAGTTGGATTTCATGACTGATTCTAATAGACTCCATGCTAGTTTGAGTTTCATAGTTTTCTTAAGCTATTCGTAGGTTTTCTCTTTTCTCCAATTTTCTTCCTACTCTCTATTCCCATGCAAATTCTAGCTCACTAGCTCATTATGTAGGCTTGCTAGTAAAGTGGGATCTCACCAATGGACACAATTTTCTTCCTACTCTCTAGTCGTAGGTTTTCTCTTCTTCTCCAATTTTCTTCCTACTCTCTATTCCCATGCAAATTCTAGCTCACTAGCTCATTATGTAGGCTTGCTAGTAAAGTGGGATCTCACCAATGGACACAAATGGATTTAACATCATTATTATAATACAATGTTCTTAGAGCAGTGATAATTATTTAAGTATTTCGACCTATATGGCTATTGACAAGTTTTTTTTTTAATATTAATTTTTAGAACCAATAGGCTTTAAAGCAGCACAAGCGAACAATCTGAGCCATTTCTTGGTCATGTTTATACAAAGAATTTTTCGGGTCCATAGGTAGTGTGTTGAAGGAAATGTGGATTGAATCCGGAAACAAGAATTGTCCATTTTGAAGAAAAGATAACATCAATTAAGAGACGACGAAGATCTGACTCAAAAGTATGAGTGGCTGTGTGCCCCGCCGCTCATTGAAGCGCGACTGTTATCATCAAAACAATGCAATTCAGGTGGAGGTGAAGATGGCCTCCTATGTACTCATGAAGATTATCATGCAGTAGATATGGTCATTAATCTTGATGGCTTACTTTCATTGTATTGTTCGATAAAGGATTAAACTAAAAAAATTCAAGCTTTACAACTATTGTGTATGAGAATAAGTTCTTTTTGCCAAATTTTCAGCTATGTGAAAATTTTATCTCTATTTATGCACTAAACCTTATGCAGTTTTGATGCAGGACTAATTAAATGACATGCTTATGGCTTCATTTTAAGCATTGCACAATTCCTTGATTAGAATAATCTTGGATTAAAATTATTAGCAATTCTCAACGTCAATTAAAACAAATAAAGAGGTGACTTGCGTAGGCTAAATCACATGCTCCAAGCGATGAAATTTTCAGAATAAATAAGACAAGTAAAACATTGCAAAATAGTAGCCTTCAATTTAATCCCTAGTCTAACAACGAGATGTAGGATGCATAGAAGGTACTCTCAATTCCTACAAATGACTAAGCTTAGCAAGAGCACTTGGATGAGTCTTTGCGATTACAATCGAGCCAACGAGAATTTAGATTTCAAAGAAATAAGATACAAGTGAGAAAAGAAACCTTTGCCCAAAAGATGTGGAGATTTTCATTCACGGACTTCGGCATGCTCGTTGATGGTTTCCGTTAGAAGGCACAAGATACCATTCACGTCCTCTTCAAGTATAGTCAATCTCCTTCTCCTTGAAGATGTACTTGGATATTTTGAAAGAAAGCAGCTTCTCTTGCCTTGTGGAGAAGGGAGGGAACCAAAGCTGAAATCTGAAATTGGTTTCAGATTCTTGTAGGTAGACTAAGGGAAATAGTAGGAATGATCCCAGATGACTCCTTGGGAACTTCGGCCAGCAGCATGTAACGGGTTCCAAGTCTTCTCACAGAGGGAAAAAGCTCTAAGGGGAGATAGTGGAGTTCCGGTCTGAGAGGGGACGGGTGCTGTGTGGTAAAACAGAGAGGAAGAGAGAGATTCTTTCCAAATCTAAGGAGTGGATTAGGAAAGAAATAAATAGATTATTAATCAGAGAAGCTTCGGCCAAAAGGATGCAGAGACAATTTGAATTATTTCTAAATGCATTCAACAGGTAATTAGGAAATAACTCCTAATCTAATTCATATGGTGGCCGGCGGCATTAATAGCCTGGGAGGGAATTAAGGGAAGGGATGGGAGGTTTCCTGTTTTGGTTTTAAGAATTAGGAAAAGTTTTAAATGAGTCCAAGTGAATTTGAAATTCAAATAGGTTTAAATTTAGAAACTTTCCTAAAATAGGTTTTCTCAAATTAGGGGAGAAAATTTCAAATTCAAATTATTTGGATTTTGAAATGAGTTCTTCCCAAATCAAGAATAAGTATTTATGAAAAGTCTTCAACTAGAAATTTGAATTTCAAAGGGTGGAGGAAAGAGATGAGGCCGGCGGCTTGATGGAAGGGAGAGGGGAATTTCGGTAGGGTGGTGAAGAGGTTGTATGGTGGCCGACGGCTTGATGGGATGGAATGAAATTGTCGAGCTAGGTTAGGGGAAGATGTTACTTGAAGGGATGAAGGAGGGAATCAAAGAGGAATACAAATAAAATAACGAATCACGAACCCGGCCGTCTCCAAGGTTGGTGGGTGATCCAGTCTCCCTCTCCTAGGGATTTCTCCAAAGTTCTCTCCAAGAACTCTCAAACACTCTCAAAACACAAGGTTAGGAAAATATCATAATAATCATCATCCCCCAAAACAAAGGAAATGAGGCTATAAATAGCCGGGTACAAAGACTCAAGAAAATAAAAGACCATCCTATGTACTCATGAAGATTATCATGCAGTAGATATGGTCATTAATCTTGATGGCTTACTTTCATTGTATTGTTCGAATAAAAAAATTCAAGCTTTACAACTATTGTGTATGAGAATAAGTTCTTTTTGCCAAATTTTTAGCTATGTGAAAATTTTATCTCTATTTATGCACGAAACCTTATGCAGTTTTCAGCATAATTAATTTTGTATTTACATTTTTGAGTTGCTACTTGACTGCTTATTACAAATTTAGTTGTTTGAGAAGCCAAATATTTTTCATGGTAAACATAATTTTCTTTTTCCTTCAACAGGTTTTTCTTTCTTGATGATTTGACTGGCTTTGAGATTACGTATCTTTTGGAAGTAAGCTTTCTGCATCAATAAAATTTATCAGGAGTCCTCCGTTGTGTGGATTTTGTGATTATAAGAGGGCATGGTCAAATTCTTATTTATATCTTGCACACTTCATGCTAAGTGAATTTTATCACCACCGGACATATTCATAATTTATTCTGCAGTCACTAAGATATGGGAATTTACTCATCTCTTGTTTTTTTCCTCCTATATTATAAAAACTCTTTATGGTTGAGAATGTTTACCAGAAAGATTCTTCATCCTGCATAAGTTATGCAGTTCTAATTTTGTTTAATTGACTTTCACCGTAAATATAAAAAAAAAAGATGTTAGGAGCTACATTGCCCTAAGTAATTTCGTTGATAAAATAATGATTCTTCATCCTGCATAAGTTATGCAGTTCTAATTTTGTTTAATTGACTTTCACCGTAAATATTAAAAAAAAAAAAAAAGATCTTAGGAGCTATATTGCCCTAAGTAATTTCGTTGATAAAATCATTGCTTTGATCTTTCATTTGTGGACATCGTGGGGATCTGTAGCTTAGCTTAAGTCATGCTAGCCTGGAGAAATTTCTGTTACAGTTTGTTGCCATGTTGTTTATATTTCTGTAGCTCATCAAGCATACGGGGATTAAAATTTTTGAGATAATTTATTTGGTTAAAATTCTCTTGTAATTTCATCTTAAAACCATCTTTACCAATCTGAACTTCTGAATTCTTTTGCACATTTCACTGAAACGGAGCTTGCGGATGAGCTCTAACAATCAATCATCATTCCGTGTGGTTAACCTTTCATGTATCCACGGTTGCTTTCATACATTTCAAGATCTTTTAAACGTCTTTAGTGTCCTTTGTTACCTTTGTGTTCTTTTGTTAAACTTTTTGTGATTGATTTTCCATTTTTTGTTGTGATTCATTTTATTTCTTAATAAACACCTATTACTCTTGTTGTTTGAATGCATTTTACTGAATTTTCTTTTAATCTCATTGTCAAAATACAGCTTCCAGAACCATTCAGTTTCATTTTCACTTGGTTTGCTGCTTTGCCTCTTATATTTTGGTTGGCTCAAGCAATTACTAATTTCATTGTGAAAGACTTTTTGATCTTAAAGGTAGACCTTCAATCGTAATTTTCTTTTATGTTACTTGATATTCACAAACTGATTGACGTTTATCCTGACTGGTGCATTTCAACCAGGGCCCCTGCCCAAATTGTGGAGTTGAAAACGTCTCTTTCTTTGGGACTATACTTTCAATCCCTAGTGGCGGTGTTGAAAATACTGTGAAATGCTCAAAGTAAGTTGCTAATAGTTCGTTCTATTATAGATGCTTAATATTGGAAAACTAATGGGCATTGTTACACTTCCCTGGATTAGATAACAAACATGCAGTTTTTTTTTTCAGCTGTGGCACTGCAATGTTGTATGACTCCAGATTACGATTGATTACTCTTCCAGAGCCAAGTAAAGCATGAGTGGATGTAAGGATAGTATCCTTTTCAGCCTTTTTTTGGTAACATTACATCTTAGTATTATAAGTTGATTTTAATCTATCTTAAAAGTGAAAATCGATAATCTATCTTAAAAGTGGAGAACTTGCTCAACAAGTTGATTTAATTACTTTGTTTCTCTTGAAAATTTATGAGGAGCTTATTTTAGTGTTAACAAGTCACGAGTCATGACTAGAGAGTTTAATCCTGATGATGTATTTTTGGTAGAGTTTCAATTTAAGTCTCACTGCTCGGATTAAGTCTCACCATTGAACAATTTTTGCTATATTCAAAATTATATGTTAACCGACTCCTCTTTGGGTCAGAGTTTACTGAACTTGTTAGGTCATGTCCAAGCTGAATAATTTTTGGCAAGGCCATGCCAATTTGGCACCCTAGGTTCATAAATGATCAACTCAAGTTGAAGTTGCTGAATCAATCAATTCATTTGTTTTGAAACAAAAATAATAGATCTAGTAATCATATTTTGGCCAAGTAGAACACAACATTGGTTAAAAGTAGATAACCTAAGAAAATAAGGTTAATTAATACTTAGCTGCAAAGGGTTTAAAAATCTACAAATCCTTCCAAATTCGTGGGTAAGCTCCAATTTTATGCAACTATTTTGTACTTCTTTTCTTAATTTGACTGGATTAAATTGGACTTGATCAAATTAGACGTGACCTGAATCTTGGGTTTTTTTGTGATCTTTCTGTGGAAGAATTCAGAATAAAGGGGGAGTATTGCATTCCTAAATCGACTTGGATTGGGTGAATTATTTTGATCAAGTCGATGAGAGAACGGTGCAATGCCAATTACACTATTGATCCATTTAGTTAGCCAAAGTGTGTTGCCAAGTACAAACCAACAGTTATGATTTGCCATGACTAGCTTTCCTCTCAATGGTCGTGGCCTCTATTTTGATTAGCAAGACTTTGGATGTGACAATTGGTTGGTTATCAATGTGGTATGGTCGTATAAGGAATTAAATTATGTGGTCCAGCCAGTAGGGATTGTACCTTAACTTTAGCTTTAAAAAGAGGGATATTCTGACAGTTTCTTGCTGTCTTTTTGATCAATGGGTCTGGCAGGGACCTTGAGAATGCTCAGTTAGTGATAGTAAAAAGGAGAGCTCTCTGGAACATATCTTGGAATTTAGTTATTTAAAAACTGATAGGAAGCTTGAATTAGTTTTACCTACATGTTGGAAACACTTTGAATGAATTCAAGTTGCCATTTATCACAATGACAAGGCGGTGAGCTAGCTAATATTGACAGTAGCTTGAGCTTCATCTTCAGTCATCATATCTTCATCCATGGTAGAGGTTGTCATCACTGAAGGAGAGCTCACTTTTCTAGCTTTAGACTGGCACTCCACCATCATTATTGCATGCAGTCTCTTCATCGATCACCAACAATATTTCCTTGAAAATTTCAATGATTGCCACCATTATAAGGGGGTTTATTGATACTTCTATGCAATTAATCTAAAACATGCCACCAATAGTGTTGGGCTTGAGGGAGCGTTAATAGAATACTCATTGGTCTCCACGTTAGTTGAAGTAGATCCAAATTCTTTTCCGAGGATCTCCACTTGCACCTCACTCTAAATGTATTTAAAAAAATTTCCATTATCTTTCAACAAAAGCATTTTCCTCTGATGCACCATTTGATTTAGTTTATTCTAATGTATTTGATTTTCTCGAATTGTCATAGAAGGAGACTGTTGGTTTGATGTTTCCTTTAATGATAATTATTTTCATTATTATCAGGTTTATTTTATGAAATATTATTTCATTTTCTTAGTATTTATGATATACTCTGTGCATTTTCAAAACCTATTAACAAATTTCTTTAGTCGTATTATTAACAAATTATAAATGTCTTGTCATTTTTTTTTCTTAACATATTCTTTATCTTTTATTCCATTCAATTCTCACACAATGTCTAACTTTGGTCATGTTCGCATTAATCCTTTCTTTGATGATAATTTTCCAGCAAATGTGTTTAACCGGTCCTTAGTGTACCGGTCCAGCTGGATCCTTCTAAGGGGCCAGTTCGCATGTACCAGAGAAGGGGCGGCGATAAGGAGAGAGAGGGTATGGGTGGGCTTTGCTAGAGTTTAAATTTAAATTAGGAGCCAAAGGAGGGGTGGCAAGGGCTATTAGGTTATTTGGCTTCTTGTTGTAATTGTATTTTTTTGGATAAAACCCACAGAAGGGGCTTATGTGTTAATAAAAACCAAGGTTACAAGTCCTTAATGAATCTAGATTCAAACTAAATGCAAGATCAAATAAAAGAAGCTAAAAAACATAACCACAAAACAAGGTAAAAAAGGCTCAAGCACTCAACAGAGGAACAATCAACTGGAAGCAAGTCGAACCAACAACATTCAAAATTAAATCAGCACTCACATCCAAAAAGACTGCATTTGCAACAACGACAACATCAAAACAACTCCCAAAAGAACGGATAAAGCGATCCAACGAGCAACAACCCAACGAACAGTCTCCACTCCACAAAGAGCAACAACAACCAATCTACCTGAGAACAATACCAAAAAGGAAAATAAAACCTGCAAGGACAAGCATAACCAAAGGGAGGATGGGGTAGCAACCCATCCCCACAACCAACACCAAACACCCACCAACAATCAGATGGGCCAACAACAAAGCCGCCAACCAAACAAAAAGAAAACAACAATTTTCTAGATCTTCTCCTACAACGCTTAGTTCCACGAGAGAGCGCTTTCTGAGCTACCTGACAAACATCTAAATCATACAATTCCTTAAAGGAGTCAACTTGCTCAACATCAAAATCCTCACCCACATCACGCGACGATGATGGATACCCATCATGCCAAACTGAATGCCCTAAACACCCCCAAATTAGTCACAAATTGAGCATATAAACCATTTGGGGACATAATGATTATAGGCACCTCAACCAGCAACTCAGACCCCAACGATACAATGGATCTGCCACCAACAATAACCAAGGCACCCGACACAACAATTTCTACCTCATCATCATCCTCCACCTCAACATGAGACAAAGCCAAAACACAAGCCCCCACATCTTTAAGCCCACTCAAATGCTTACCACCCCCGCCAGCAAAGGACATACAACAGGTGAAACAAAACCACTACCACTACTAAACACAACTTCACCTGGAGCCTAGCCAAATTAAGGAAAGGAGAAACGCCATCATCAACTTGATCACAATTAACCACTTGATTCACCAACAAAACACCTTGAGCCACATTATAGTCATGCGAAGAAGAACCAACAGCCACAGTCTCGACCATGTCAGGGCCCACGATTCATTTCCAACCAAAGGGGATTCAATGCCAATATTAACAACAGCTTCAATAGGAACTAACTCACCCGTCTGATTGGGTAAATCATTCTCATAGAAAACAACATCATCAATAGGATTCTCATCCGAAAGAATGGGAACCATATTTCCAACAATTTTATCACCCACATCCATATCCATACCAACAACATTAGGAGTAAGAATATTAGCTAAAAGAGGATATAAAATATGGCAGTCGACTTTAGAGTGTCCCAAAGCCTTATAGTTTAGGCAAGAAACTCTTCCAATTCAACATGCTGAATGAACTCCATAGATTCCGAACCAATCCAAACTTGGACAGAGTACCACCTCTTGGTGACATCTAATTCCACAAGCACACGAGCAAACGAGGGCCTCCAGCCATTTGATGTAGCATCATCTGTTTGCAAAGGACGGCCAAACAAGGAGCCAAAGCCATGTAAAATCCGGGAGGAAAACAGGTGTGGACATTATCCGTTCTTGTTGTAATTGCATTTTTTTTTTTTGAAATGCATATAAAGATATATGTTTCTTGTTGTAATTGTATGCCTTAAGTTTGAGGGGGATATTAGGGTTAGGGTTATGCTTGATTATTATTTCTCTTAGTGTTCTTTGGTGTCTTGGGCTCTAGACTCATCGTCTAGAGATTGGGAGAGAAAGATCCTCCTCTTGAATTTAGGATAAATTGTATCTTTGCTTTGTGCTTGCTTTGATTTGATTCCTATAATACAATCTATTGTTTTGGATTGTTTTCACCGACTTTCTTGAGTTTTTCTCGCTATTTCTACCAATTATTGTAGGTCTGCTTTTTATTTTATTTTATTTTTATATTGTTGTTAGGTCTGCTTGCGAACTCAAGTATTTCCTATCAAAATATTGGTAATATATTTCTTGATATTATTACGACTACCTCTCATCCCATGACCACCCCAGCACCTCACGAGATTGTGGATCATCGGCCTAAGTGCACTGGCAGGTCAACCAAATTATCATATTTTATTTACACATTTTATTCTCGTTGATCATTGGTATTAATGTGATTATTTCTTTTGAAGGCTATCTACTCCTGCAATCTAAGTATATAGCTGATATCCTTGAGTATGATTATCTTATTGATGCTAGGACTGTTGGTACTCTGTTTGAACTTAATGTTTGATAATCTTCTTCGGATGGCACACCTCTAAATGATCCTACTTTTTATTTTACTAGTATTGGTATTTTGTTTTATCTCATTATTACACGATCATATATTTTTAATGTTGTTCACATTTGTTAGTTAATTTATTTTTTCTCCTACTACTGTTCATTGGATTGCTGTTCTTTGTATTTTTCTTCAATTTAGGGCACCTTTTTTTAAACATTATTATGTCCATCGACATCTTCTTTAGAGCTATGTATTTATTCCAATGTTGATTGGGCTAGCAATTGTAAATCACAAATTTACTAATAATTTTTTGCATAATCCTTGGAGATTTTATTTATTGAAATAACAATAAATTAGTATTGTTTCTCATTCTTTCATAAAAGCTGAGTATCATGTTATGGCATCTACTACTTTGAGATAGCTTGCTTCTAGACATAAGTGTTTTTCTTTCTCATCCAACTCCTATGTTTTGTGGCAATTAAAGTACTATTCAGATTGTGCGTAACATAGTTTTTCATGATAAGACTAAGCATATTGAGATTGATTCTCATCTCACTTGTCATCACCTTCAATGTAACATTCTTAGCTTGTCATATGATTCCTCTTTTTTGTATAGATTGCAAATTTGTTTACTAAGTTCTATCACTTTCATATTTTCACTTTTTGGTGGACATAATCTTAATGATGCTTGCAGTCACACAGTTAGTTTGGGGGGGTGGGGGATATTGGAATTGTTATATTGCCATATCAATATTGTCACATGGATCTAATATTTATAGTTGAAATCTATCATATGTATTATTGTTAGAGATGTTGGAGTTATCCTTATTATTGATGATATTTTCTAATTAGGGTGGAGGGAGTTACATACACGAAACTCAAAACATTTAAATTTACATAATCTACATTCTTCTTTATTGTTGTTAGTATTTCCCTATGAGCTCTTTTGTGGCTTCTTTTTATTTTATTTTATCATTTTTCCCTACTGAGCTCTGTTGCGACTTCTTGAGTTGGACCGTCTTTGCCTTGCTGTACCGACTTTTGTCGCAACTTTTTTTCCTTGGTGCACTCAATGCCTTGCCCTAGTGAGCTCTATTGCAATTAGTGTGTTTCCCTAGTTAGAGCTTACTTGACTTCTACCAACGGCATGCGATGAAGCGATCATATCGGCGACATGTGAAGGTGGCAATGACCAGGACCGACGGCTTGCCATGCATATGGGAAGTGCATGATAGGATATAGATAATGTTTGGGGTTAAGTGGTTTTTTTGTTGATATTTAAATTTTTAAATCTTATGTGAGTAAATAATAAGCTAAATATATAAATTAAAAAATTTGAGCGTTATGTATGTAAAGCCCATATTTATACTGTGCTTTCTTTTATCACTCTCTTTTCTTGCCACTATTTTTTCTTGTTGTAAATCTTTTTTATTCATTCCTAACTTCCTGCATGTTAGTCTTGTTTCTTATGTTTAGGTTAAGCTTTGAGGTTTGCTACAGTAATAACCTCTAAACTTCTAGAATCCACACGAAGTGTGTAGAGATTCATCATTTTTTCTTAGAAGTTTTGAACAATAAATAGCTTAGTGAGCTTTGCTTGTCTTGCAGTTCAAACAAATGAAGGCTGCATACCTTCGCTAGCCTCAAGCTAATTGAAATATGCACTGTACATCAATCTATATCCACTTGATTGCATATACAGTACTAGTTGAAGCAGCTTGTGCGGACATTACAGAGATCGATTGATTGTCAAACTTATGTTCTCCCGAAGCTCCTTCACCTTATGGCCTTGCATGTTTATGCACATGTAATTAGCTTTTATATTAGTTGCTCAAGTATAATTGAAACCATTCAGATATATTATCTGCTTTTGCATGTAATTGTTCATTAAGTTTTGTTCCTTGTATATGATTTTCTGCTTTGGCTCTTAGATTCAACCTAAATAATTTTTAATCTGATTAAAGTTTGTACTGATTTTGGTCAACCTGGATTCAATTCATGGTTCATGTCGGGGGAGTGAACTGAAAGTGTCTATTTTAAGGATGGACAGTTGACAATGGTCAATTGTTGGATCTCTATATGTTGAAAATATGATGACTTTTGGAGATAAAATAGAAATTTCATTAAAAGATGATTCAAACATGCGAGGCATGAATAGATAATTTGGTACTTTATGTTCGGAAGAGAAGAAGATGGATTATAGGGCATTAGACGGTAGAGTTGATTGGCGAATTTTGATGGGCAATAAGCTGGCAATTGTAAGGCATTGAAAACTACGGTTTATGGCTCTATGCTTACAACCTTGTCTTGCGGGGAGGACTAAGAGGCACAAATAGTAAGGATTAAATTTTCATAAGTCCACAATTGTCTTGCAATACCAGCTCCACGTATATTGTTGTGTTGTAGAGAGAGAGAGAGAGCTACAAGGTGTGGGCTCCAGAAATTTTGTGCCCCCCACCCCGCCGCCACCGCCACTGATTCTTTCTTTTTGGTTGTTTAAGTAGGCGAGGAGAGTTTTAACGAGTTTGTCTGGGTAAATTTTCAGAAGGCAGATTGGGTTTTAGATAAGACACTACCTAGAGATTTCGTCCTCATTTTGTGTGTTCATAAATCTATTGCGAGGAAGAGGACCATATGCCATAATGTCTCAAAACCAACATGTTGAAGGACCACATTGCATTTGCATTTTCATCCACAGAGGCTGAAATTCCTAATCACTATAAGGAAGCAGTGGACAGTCCTTAAGATGATCTTTGGAATAAGGTTATGGATGAAGAGATGGAGTCTCTTCAGAAGAATGCTACTTGGAGGTTGGTGAAGTTTCCTCGAGGAAGAAAAATCATTGGATGCAAATAGGTTTCTGCAAAGAAGAAAGGATTTCATGGAGCTGATGTGCGGTACAAGGCGAGGTTGATGGCAAAAGGCTCTGCGCAATGGAAAAGGATTGCTTATGATTATGTGTTCTCTCCAGTGGTTAAGCATCTCTCAATCAATATTCACTTAGCACTTATAGCACAATATGGTCTGATTTTGAAGCTGCTCGATATAAAGACTACATTTTTAAATGAAGAATTGCAGGAGGAGATCCACTTGTTATAGCCACCTGGATATGAAGCCTCAAAAGACTTGGTTTGCAGATTGGATAAGACTTTAGTTGGAGTAGTGAGTATGTTCACCTACTGTAGGATTTGGTGAACATTAAAGCTCACAACTGCTTGCCCATTTGTTTTGAAGAACTATGCTCGGCTTGATCCCTTGGGAGGGGGCGTACATGGGCAACCATTTGGGTGCAGTCGTTTTGATATATGAGCCTAGTTTGTTAACTTTTCGCTTTCTAAAATGAAAGATGAGGTGAAGATTGTTTGTTTAGAAATCTTTCCTAATCTATATCAGCCTTGATTTGGAAGGTTTTGACGGCTCATTATGTAATTGATTAGGGAGTTGATTATTTCTCTAATTAAGTTGATTTGATTTGAGATTTAATTGGAGATTTGATTGATGCATTAATTAGGGGACATGATTATTGCATAAATTAGGAGATTTAATTAGCTTGATTTGGATATCTAATTGGCATGATTAGATTTTTTCATATTATAGTATTAATTAAAGTTTCATTTGTAGCTTTGTTTCAAATCTTTAAATAAGGCTTGAGGGTTATTGTATTGTATGCATGAGAAGAAGTGAGCCAAATTATAATCCCTATTGTTCTCCAATATAGTGAAATCATCATCTTATCTCCATGGACGTAGGCATCTTCGTTGAACCACATAAATCGTTGTGTTCTTTGTGTTGTTGGTTGCTTGATTTGTTTGTTTCTGCTGTGTATTGATCAACGTATATATCCTTACTGATTTAGATACAATATATGCTTTTCTATCTCTTTGAACCTTCATGCTCAATATTTTCCTTGCTGATTGCAAATCTCTCATCTCAAGCTCTTTAGTGAGGTAACCTTTGATTTTTGCTGTCTCGCTCTTATTATTGGCTGCTAGTAATTTGTCATCAATATCTAATAGTAGGTATAATATTGATCTATCATCACTGCTTTTAAAGTAAACGCATCTATCATAACTGCTTGTTTTGAAGTCATTAGCAATAAGAAATCTGATGACTTATTGGCCATAAAGAGAATTCTTTAGCAAGCACATATAGGCTTTGTTTGGGATGGCTTTCTTATCATTTTTTAAAACAGTTTTTTAGTATCAAAATTAATGTTGTTCTACTAAAAAGCTATTTTAAGAAGCAGAGAGAAAGCTGTACCAAACGAAGCCTTAGTCTTCGTTTCTAAAGGCTATAAAACTCTCTGGCTGCTATACATAAATGTCCTACACATCCAACTATTTAAGCTTAAAATCATGCATGACCACAATTTCAAACAAAGCTTGAATTGACCTATGCTTTTCAACTGGAGAAAGCGCATATGTGAAGTCTATTCTTGGAATATGACCAAAACCCTTTGCAACAAGTATTGCCTTATACATGGGTTCTTCATCTCTTAGAGTTCATTCTTTCCTTTTGAACACCTATTTATACCAAACAACTTTCTTATCCTTAGATGGTAAATCTCAAGTGTCATTCTTATGAAACGATTGCTTCTCCTTCTGCATGGCAATCATCCATCTACCATAATTATTAGAATTGATTGCCTTTGAGTAGGTAGAAGGTTCTTCACTAGAATCAATACCTTTAGCCACATTCAAACATAAGCTATTGCCATACCTCTAGGGAGATCTAATGTCTGTTTTAAGCCTATGCTTAGCAATGGTATATTATAATGGTGGTGATGGTGATGTTGGTGAAGAAGCAGCGCGACTTTGTACCTCTAAGCTTGGAGAAATTATTCTGTGCAGACATCGGACGGTCTGAAGACCAACAAGAATGCAGCACGTCATCTGGTACACAGCGGTACCGAGTACTGGTACCAAGTAAAAAAGTGAAGTGACACATTCTGGTTGGTCTACGGACATCATCCGGAATCTGCACAGAATAATGTTTCCTTAGCTAGACTAAGATGTAACTTCGGCATAGATTTTTATCCAATATGAAGCTTCACATGTGTGCTTGATTTCTACTGATTTTCCTTACAAGAATCTTTAGGAGGTGATTCATGAGTTATGACTTTTTCATTAAAAATACCATCTCTATTAATTATGATCTCTTTGCGTTTTGGACACCATAGCTTGTATCCCTTACCTTCAAGCTTATAGCCAAGAAAAAATACTCTTGATCTATCTAGGTTCCAGCTTTCTATCATCAACATGAGCATGAGCAGGGCATCCATTTGCCTTTAATTCATTTTAATTAGTAGTATCAGATCATATCTCTTGTAGAGTCTTTTTACCAATATCAATTGAAGGAGAGCAATTAATAAGAAACTAAGATTTTGTTTGAGATGACTTTTTTCCTGCTTATTAAAACAATTTTTAGTACAAAAATTAAAATTTTTGTATTAAAAAAATTATTTTAAGAAGCTTTAAGGAAGCCGTCCCGAACAAAGTTTAAGATGCGCATGTTACCTTGGCCCAAAAAGATTTGGATAAACAAGTATCATAAAAGCATACAATGTACTTCTCCATCAAAGCCCTGTGCATTCTCTCTGTTACTATATTTTGATGTGGAGTATGACGAATCGTTAAGGGCCTCACAGTCCCTCCTAACTCCAAGCAATTATGAGTGCATAGACATTTAAACTGCTAAGCTCGTCATCAGAAAAGGAAGGATTAGCTACAACCCTTCAAGTCATAAAACTTGGCAGGGTTTTTTGGCCCTTTCATCACAATAAAATATTTGATGGAAGTAAAAAAAATGGTTTTTTTATGAATTTATTTTTTATAAAATTTTGAGGAATAAAAACAGAATTATAATAATTTATAAATAATAGAAGTATTTTTAACTATGCTTCACTTCTAGTATATTCATACGTGCTCTCTTTCCACATTCTATAAAGCCTATTTAAAAAAAAAAATTACAGTGTTGATAAAATTAATAAGATCCACTTCTGTTTAATTTTTAGGTATAAAAAATTATTTATAAAAACACTTTTATGATTATTTTTAACTTAAATCATTTATTTACAAGACAAGAATTTTAAATACTCAATGAAAGATAAATATTCTTTTAAAATTTTTAACTAAAAAGTAAAAACCACATCAAATAACTGTTCCTTTTTTATTCATTAATTGTTATAAAACTCTTAAACACTCTTTATAAAAAAAGGATATAAATTTTTAAAACTTTTAAATTTTACATTGTGTTTATTCATACATATATTTATTAATTTATTATTCAAATATCAAAATTTGCAATAAAATTATATAAACATGAGGGGCTATTTAGATACAGGATTTACACAGGATTTGAGCATGATTCATTTAAAATTTCGCTAAACAAAATAAAATGTGTGCTCAAATCTCTCAATAAGTTAAATTAACCATATAAATTTTTTTAAAATTTAAATGAGAATTAAATTCTTAATAATTAATAGGTCACAGTGAAGAAAAAAAATTATGTTAACTAATTCCACATAATGGGAGAACGATTTGATGCTATTGTTGTTGTATAAAATTCCTTTGTGCGTGAGCAGAAATTATTCTGTGCGGAGGCCAGATGCAGCTCTACATCCGGAGGCGAATCAGGTACAGTCATATCAGTGGTACCGAGCCGCGGTACACAGTAAGGGGTGATGTGGCACATTCTGGTTGATCTTCGAATGACATTCGACGTCCACACAGAATAACTATCGTGAGTGAGGCCGTTGAAGTTGGCAAGTGAAAGATTTGTAGATATGTTTTTACAAAAAAAATCTGAGAATTTTTTTTGGGTCTAAAGCATATGAGACGCAAAGTCTTTTTCCATCAATAGATAAAGCAGAACTCCTTTTCTTAATAAGGTAAAGGAGGCAACTGCTTTTATGGGATTAGACAGGA